GGGTGATTTTCTTGCCATTTAATAAATGGCAAGTGGATCGGATTTTTTTTTCGATTTGCACATAACTTCAAATTATCGAGAATTATCGAGAACGAATTTTTTTCAAGGGAATATAATTTTTTTTTCTATTTATCGTCATTTCTGATTTAGAGGAGTACAAATTATGGAGACCCGACTGTACATTTAAAGTACAACTCCACAACTTTAATTTGACCTATGACAGTTGAAACTCTCTCTCAGCTCGATTAATATCGATTTCTCAGATATTATCAGCTGTCTATGAAGTGAAGCATAAATGTCGTTTAAGCTAAATTCATAATCAAAAGCTCATCAAACTGCAATTGAATAGCACAATCCAAAGCGAATGACACTGGATTAGACTTGTCATAGCTTTGGCAGCTGCTCTCAGTACTTGAGCGGAGCACATTCATTAGATGGAATAAATAATTGGCTTGGCAAACAATTTTTGTGACTGCCTCGAGTGAAAGTTAGGAATTTAATCCGCTATCATGTTTCGCTGGGATTGTTTGTGGATAACTTTTAAAAAATATATTTGCGAGTGAGCAGTGAGAATGGCGTAGAAACCGATTGCATAACTTTCTTACGGTCTGTGCTGTGGCCGCACTTGGTTGCTGGCTGTTGCAATGTGGGCGTGGCATGGTGGAGGGGATGGTGGCAAGAGTTTTGGTCTTTATGCTGCGCCAACGACATCAACAAAAGTTCTGCAGTTTTTGTGCACTTGGATGTCAACACATCGACACATAACGGCACATTCGACCAATTTACACACACACAGAGACAAGTTCGTCCTGTGGCAGGCAAGAGCCACTCCAAGGACTCAGCGGCAGACAAGCAGCCTCCGCCTCCGCCTTCGCCCTGGAGTTGAGCAAACTTGAACTTTTGCGGTCCGGCCAGCTGCTGACTGCCTGCCCGACTGTTGCACAGTCTCCCACTGCAGTATGCACACCAACTACACATCTATAAACATATATATATGTGTGTATATGTGTGTGTGTGTGCACTTCAAAGCGCTGCGCCCACAACATTTTTGGCAAGTGCGCGCTCTAATTACATGTTGGCCTAGAGGAAAACTCGAAACTTGGCGACTGTGGAAAAGTCGGCTTGAGCATGCGTTGCGGTTTTTCATTTGCATTCGCCTGGACGAACTTAGTTGGCCAACGACTTTTAACTGAATGAATTGTGTTGAAGCATCTTCCACACTCGCTCTGCAATTTCTATTCCGTTTTATATTTTATTTTCTTCTCTCTCTCTTTTTTTCTCGCTTGCAACGAGTATAATTACATTTGGGGCAGCTGCATTAAGCTGGGCTCGGCTGGGCTGGGCTGGGCTGGCTGTATCTATATTTTATTTATGATTTTCACAGTTTTTTTTGGTCGTCTGTCGCTGGCGTTGAGTGTGCTGCTGATAATTTCAGTCGGCTAGGCAAATTTACACTGAGCTACAAAGTTCACGGTTTAGTGAACAACAACAATTTTCTAGCCATGAATGCATCCGGGTAGACGAGCCCCAGCCTGGAATGCAGCGACTGTTTCGCTTTTCTTGTGCCCCAAACTTTCTGTGGGGTGAAGGAAAATCATTTATCAATGTCAGAGAATGTGCTGCATGCACGAGAAGTTGTGTCCTAATGGTGCAGGAGACGGCGAACGTAGCGGCGGGGCGACTGGCGCTCGCTTCCTTCAACAGCCTAAACTCTGATGTGTGCAATTGTGTGTGTGTGTGGGTATGTGTGTGTGCCGAAAAACTTGCGACTTTGTTTCACAAGTGATTTTGAAAATTATGCACACGCATAAATGCGCTCGTTCGTTTCAAGCCTGAAAACTTTGAAAGCATTTTATCAATACATAATTCACCAAAACACACGAAGAACAATGAAAACAACAACAACAGCACGTAGAAACATAAGAACAGCACGCAAAGCTTTAGCACAGCAGATTCTAGATTTGTTTAGTTAGTTATAATACTTGTACAAAAAGCTGAAGAGGATTTTGTTTGAAGGAAACGACTCTGAGCTGAGAGTTGCGTATTTAGTTTTCTAAGTAGTCATATTTTCATATATGAATATGTTATAAATTATTAACTATGTAATATCATAGAACGTATATAATATCATATGAAACTATCAAATAACACAACAACTGAAGACGAAGTTTTCAGGCTAAAATCCTTGACTATATTAGTCAATTTATCAGCGGATAATGATGTCGACTTTCTAGCTTTCAAATGATAGTTGAATATTGTGAAGTATTTATTATTAGTTGTAAAATGTAGTTTAGAAAGTATATATTAAATGCAGCATGTGGAAGCAGAGTTTCTAATTTATATAAGAAATGACTATAATTTTAATATATATATATACATTTTTTTTTTCAATGCCACTTCTTTGATAATTAAAATTGGACAAATACTCTTTTATTTCTTCAACTAGGATTCCGAGAATTCTCAAAGCTAAGATTAAAGCTCATCATTCTCTCGAAGTTTTGTCAGACATTGTATGATTAGATATTCAATATTGGAAATATTTCGGTCATCGTCATGCCACCTCAAAGTGTGAACATTAAATAATTATCACTATTTGAAAATATGATAAATTTCGTGTAAATATATTTTAATAATTTTTTGGAAAAGATTTAGCAAATACTGCAGATCGAAGAGCTCTGCTGATCATCTGAGGAACTACTGATTCGCCTTTCAATGACTAATTCTGAATTACGAATGAATTTGATTTATTTTAAGGACTTATTTTATTATTATTATTATTTTAGGCACATAATTCTTGTTCATGGCCAATGGAAAGTAGTCTCATATTATTATTGGGCATTGAGCGAGTATTGTGCAGTTGCATGCAGGCAATTGCAGCCTGTTGTAGCTGCCATACTGGCCGTATCTCTATTTTTTCTGCTCAACATTCAGTTCAATGTGGGCGTTTGGCTTTGTCTTGGTTTGTGGCGGCAAACTTTAGCACTTAGCTGCAGAGCTGCAGTCGGCAGTCGGCAGTTGCCAGTTGGCTGAGAAGAAGAAGTAGAACAGCTGAGCAGCTGAGCAGCATTCAAGTGGCGTCTCATAGCGGCTTTCGCTCTTTTTAAGCGGCCGAGCGACGGTTCTAATTCTCTGGCCGGCACTTGTTTGCTGGCGAAACAAGTTTGCACTCGAAACTCGTAAATAATGAATGGGGCAAAAGCGCAACCGCACCATTCATAATGGAAAAAGTTGCCTCGGTCCACTCGAAACTATTGCACTTGATGCAAGGCTTGGGTCCCATGCTGTATGCCGCATGCAGCAGCTCTGCTGGCAGCCGACGGCGTTATTGTCATGTGTACAGTAAAAATAACAAATAACAAACACTGGGCGTGCCACTACATGCCGTAAAAGGGTGGGCCAATGTTTGTACATTGACGGCTGTGGCCTTGATGTGGTTATGCCGCATGCCGCATGCCGCATCCAGCCATCCAGCTGCCGTTGGTCAGCGTTCGGCTGCCGCCAAGGTTAAAGTTTCCATTTTAATATTGTATCTGGCGTTGTTTATCTTATAAGCTGCACAGGGCTTAGCTTTTCATTTCAATGGCCATTTGTATAGATGTTTTGAAAAGGAAATTGAAATTTTTGTTAGTTTATGGCAGCGATAAATAATCGAGTTTAGTTTCCATTCCAGGACCAAAATATGCTGCAGAGTTGGCATTGAATATATTAAACATTATTATATATTATCGGAAGTTGGTTTAAGCGCTGATAAATAGGCTACATTCCAATGTACACAGTTAATTTATTAAATATTCATAAAGAATTTACTTTGCTTACTTAGCTCGACAAATTAAAATTATTGATTTTCAATGTAATTAAATTGTAAATGTTAATACAATTTTAAAATAAATTTATTATGTAGACATATTAATTTCAAATTCAAATTTTTATACCCTGAACCCATTGAAAATGGGAAATCAGGGTATAATGGTTTTGTGAAAAAGTATGTAACGGGCAGAAGGAGGCGTGGCAGACCCCACAAAGTATATATATTCTTGATCAGCGCGATGAGCTGAGTCGATATAGCCCTGTCCGTCTGTCCGTCCGTCCGTCCGTCCGTCCGTCCGTCCGTCCGTATGAGTGCGTCGATCTCAGAAGTTATAAGAGCTAGAGAGCTGAAATTTGGCATGCATACTCGTGTGTACCATACGCAGTACAAGTTTGCTTTATTTTTTCGATAAATCGTCCGATAACTTTTTTATCGAAAATAATCGAAAAATTGATTTTGTTTTTTTAGCCTAATTTGAACACTTTTAGACCTGGAGTCTTCAAATTTGCGTTGTATATAAAGACAATCTATATAAAGATTTTGTCATTTACAGATTTTGGATACCACGCTCCCTTTCCCCCCAATTTACAAAAAGCGCATTTTAAGTACTACAGACTTGTGCTTTGGAATGTACACACATATTCACCATATGATTACGTTCTAAAAGTTTCATTAAGATCGTATGTCTACAAAAGAAATTATTCAACAAAGAAATTCTCATAATATTGCTCAAATCGCAGCGCAGCCCAAGCGCAGTCGCTGCTTACTGCGCAGTTAGCAGAGCACGGGCTTATGCGTGCGTGTGGATGCATGTGCATAAAAGAAGTGCAGAATGATTATAATATCAGCTTAGAGGGTTCAGGGTATCTCCTAGTCGAGCAGTCTCGACTGGAGCCTTCTTACTTGTTTTTTTTTTATAAATAAATGATAAGTAAAACTAATCTATATTTCATTCGATTATTATACATAGGAAATAAAAACATTATAACATACAAAAATATTGTCTGATTGAATTTAAAAATAAATTTTAATAAATAATTTCAGATTATACATATATTTTTTAGTATTAAATAAAAAAACAATTTTTTGTTTGTTAATTCTAAACAAAAGTACATCTTTTTATGACGCTATATTCATTAGCAAACATATCATTTATTCATAATAACTGCAAACAAAACTTAATTTCACTTACCTTATTCAACTTTCCAAAAATAACAGCTTAATTATGAATGCAAACCTCAAAAACAGAACAAAACAGAGAAACAGAGAGAAAAAAAAAAAAGAAATCGGATAAAGCTTGCTTAAAGTATGTGTTTCAAGCGGAAATTGGAATTCACACACACGTCGTCCAACAGATGTCGCCGCAGCACATTTCCCCCTGTAATAGCGCACTGTACGTGTGTATGCATGTGTGTGAGTGTGTGCTGCAAATGTTATGCCGTAATTATTGTTGTATTTTGACTTTAGTTTGAATCTTTTGCGGATTTAAATGCATTTAATTTATGTGGCTGCATGTGCGCACATATTTACATTGGACGCTTTCAACACGACGTCGACTTGGACATTGCAGCGCCAAATGGCAAATGGCAATGGCAAATGAAATGTGGCGTTTGTGAGAGGGCAGGCGGGAGTTTGTGAGCGTGTGCGTTTGTGTTGTATTCGGCACACACGTGCATTAAACTCGTATTTTTGAAAATCTCAGCTTGCCGGGCCGGGCACGAGACACGAAGCCGACCGAGTCCACCATGCGATTCAAATGTAACAAGCAGACTGAGTGTGGCTCAGCAGCGGCAGCGCCAACAGCAGCAGTAGCAGCATTAGTCGAACGGGGGGCAGCGGCGGCCGACGAGAGCATAAATAGCGGCCGCGACAGCTGTAACGAGTAGCCGAAGCGCATCGGCCGCAGCGCTGTCCACAACAACCGCCAATAAGCAGAGAGCGTGAGAGAGAGAGAGAGAGAGAGTCTGTGGCGCCTCTCACCCACTCGCTGTAACAGTGGCTCGGCTGCTGATGCGCAAGCGTCTGCTCTCTCTCTGTCTCTCTCACTGTTATCGAGGTGAATATACGGCACTGTTAAAAGGAGCAACAGTTTGGTATTGTTTTTGGCTATATAATGTGTTGCAGGGGTAAACTTGGGGAAATGCTTAAATAAATTTAGAAATTTTAAATAACTAATATAAATAATATAAAGATTTAGATTTTGTTGAATATTTAATGAGTCAATGAATGGATCAACTATTGTTTATTAAGTGCAAGTAGATTTATGTAAGCAAGCAAATTATTCGCTGTGCAAGCTGCGCTGTTAAATTTTATCCGCTGTTATGTTAATGCTCTAGTATGCTGTTAAAGCTCATCCCTCTTGCTATAATTCTGTTTTTTTACAGTCATCGTCTGCTGCTGTTACTAACAGAGCGAGCGTAACTGCTATTTAACAGGAATGAAGCTGTAGCCGAGGCAGTAGCCGAGCGGATTAAGATTAACTAATTAGATTACCGGAATAAATTATAAAAAATATATAAAAAGAATGTATTTTTTAATTTAAATGAGTTATGTATCTTCTGTTAGTCAGCATGCTTTCAAATAGTTCTATATATATTGAGAGGGGTAATCAGTCTAAAAGCTTTTAAAGCCGCTTATGATTAGAGTTTTACGGATTTACTACAATTATCGATGCAACAATGTTCGTCTGATCTTCACTGCGAATAGAAGAAGCATCATATTTTTGAAATTCCGTTCAAATAGTTTATATAAAGTGTCGTCTCGCGGAAGGACCGCAACTCTTTCAATTATGGAAGCATTGTCCGAGATAATAGCGCAGCTAAATTGAATTCAATTGGATTAATTGAGTTTTGCTTGGGTCTTGTTGAAAGCGCAAAGAGCTGTGCGGGAAATCAAAACAAGTCGCAGTTCATAATTTACTCGAAGCGGCCATCCATTAACTAGATGCACTGCATCAGTGTAATTTGCTCTGTTCAGTTGTTCACCTGTTCCGGTTGATTACTGTTATCTCTCAGATGAGCGACCTTTGGCGTAATCATAATGCAACAGATTGCTGAGTGGGAAAGCTGCTTATCCCCTCCAATACTTTTGCCTCTTATGAAGCTCAGCAAATTATTGTGAATGGGATTTTATATCCCTTACTTTTCACTCTCTCTCTCCCTCTCTCTTTTTCCCTCTGATTTGCTTTGTTTTTATTTTTTATTTTTTATTCGGGGTTGATTTGTATGCAGCGCTAAAAGCTTGAAAAATGTTTTACCCGCACGTGTTTCCTGCGCTTTGATACACACACACACACACACACCCACACACAGATATTCGAGACACATTATATAAAATAGAATATGTAGGAAAAAAAAGCACAACAATGAAATGGCAGTTGGGTTTGCGCTGCGACAGTCACATTACAATTTTCAAGGGTTGAGGGTTGCCCCACCCTTAGGCAAGTGAAAGAGCATGAAAAGTGCTGCAGTTCGTTTTGTTTTTGCTTTTCTTCTTCTTCTTATTTATGTGGCAGATTTCGTTGGGCACATTAGGGCTTCTAATGAATGAGTGGGAAGGCCGGAACGGTACCTCTCTGTAGGGAGTATTCGCACTCGCACTCTCGCTTGCACTCGCGCTCTCCCTCTTCCCATTGCAAATTCTTCGGGCTGCATTTTCCAAATTGAATCCTGCGAGAATGCGCGCAGACAAACATCTAAATTGTCAACGTAATGTGACAAAATATCGAAGTCAGCAGGTAGAGCCCGAACCAGAGCCATAGCCAGAGTCGGGAACAGGCAGCAGCCATCGGGACAGTAGCCAACACCCGCGAGGACATCGCCTGACGCCTCTGTCGACTCTGTTGCCGCTGTCGCCTTTGTCGCCTCGGCGACTCAATTCAGCTGTGTGAAGCTTGCCAGGCACGAATTCAATTTCGCGTCCACAGATGCCATTCACCTTCGGCACGTACCACTATCAACGTCAACAAGTTACACACGGCGGGTGGTCGGGGCTGCCGGCTGCCGGCTGCCAGGTGGGCGTGGCACACTAAAGTGGAAAACAGCAGGCAGACAATACAATTGCTTCCTTGAATGCATCTGCCGGCTCCACGGCGTCCTTGTCGCTGTCATCCTACATCCGTTGAAATCGTGAGACGCTCCCGCACTCGGTCGCCTCCACCCCAGCGCCCGCTTCCGCTCCCACTCCTGCTCCAGCTCCAGCTCCCGCTCCCAATTTCATTCCCTGTCCGCGCTCCTTGTTAGTCACCATGGCGAATGCTCCTGATGCTTCTGACATTTTATACTGAATTATTTATTTAGTTTTGCTTTCTCTATGTGCTCATTACTTCCTTTTTCTTTGCATACCCTGTAGACGGGAAAGTGCCTCGAATGGGGTAGATTCACTTGGGAAATAATATTAAGAGAGAAATGACGGAAGTTAGAGAGTGACCAGGTGAAAGAGTAAGGGAGAGTAGAAAGCAAGAGAGAGAGGGAGAGTGAGATAAAGAGATTGGAATAGAGAGACAGAGAGAAGGAACAAAGTAAAAGATAAGATGAACAGGAAATAAGAAAGAGATACATAAGATAGAGAGACAGGCAGGATAATAAATAATGGGTTAATACCAGAAAATTTAGCTGGAAGGATTGCTAGAGAGAGAGAAGAGATTATAAAGGTTTTAAACAATTTTAAATTTAAAATTATATCTAATGTTTAGCTCTATTTTTAATTAATTTACATATTCAGAATAAATTTATAGAAACACTCAACAGAGAGTCTTCTTGAAATGGCATACTGGGTATTTCCTAGTTGGGCATACCCCTCTCTGTCACTATTGATAGTCTTTTCTGCTCCCTCGCAAAGTTGTGTACGCACTTTGACATTTTTATTGTGCTGCGTTAAATTTGCAGACGACAAAGTCAAGAAGGTTGAAATATTATCCAAGTCCACGAGCAGGGCAAGGCGATCGCTTACGAATCTAATTAAATGTGTGTATGTACTACATGCTCTAGATATGTATGTATCTCTCTAGATATCATATCAGTATCTCTTTGAATATATATGTATATATCTATATACACTTTGCGAATGTGGCACCAAATGAAATTGAAAAAAATGCGGCTCTCAAACTGTTTGATTACCTCGGAGATTTGCGCTCTACTAAAATTAAATATGACTGAGAAATATTTTCAATTTGTGGACACGCAAACTTTTCTTTCCCTCGTGCTCTCTTCTGTTCCTCCCCTCTCACTCTCTCTCTCTCTCTCTTTATATACATACTATGTATACTCCGTACATTTTGTTACTTGCTTTTGGTTACCCATGGGAAATTTCCTAACAGAAAATAAAAGTTTCTGGTCAAGTGAGTGCAAAACTTTTAAGTGACGCACTTTTTTTTCGCCTGTTCTTCTTTTGCTTCTCCTTATTACTCCTCTCCCTTCTACACTGTAGGTGGTTAAGTGGAACTGGATTATGGATGGCTGTACAATTTATAAGGCTTGACTTTGCTTCGCACAATTTTTGTGAGTGTGTGTGTGAGCACTTTGATTACAGCTGTTGATTACATTTGCCATTTGTGACCAAGTATATAGAGCATCCAATAACTGGGGACAAGCGTCAACTGATTTCCTTGCGGAGCGCCTAGATTGATGAGCTTCCTAACTGTTATGCATTCTTATCAGCTTTTTCAGCTTCTTGATTGTTTTTGTAAAGAGCAAAAGCAATGCTATAAAACACTGAAACAGTGCTGGAAATGACTTTACTTGATTCCATACAGTGTTGATTAACATTGGAAATGTTAAATACATTACATATAACAACAGTTTATTTATTTATTTATATTTCAACTCTAAAAAGTAATTTTTTTTTTATAGCTCCCATTCATATTACAAATTATTGATACTGTACAAATAAAAAGTTTTCATCTACTTGGAATTTAAGAATTTGTTTCTTTATTGCTAGCTCTAGTGACAATTTGATCTTGTTTAGCATTGACATCCTCGAGTCAGCTACCATCAGAGTTAATATTTTGTATTATCAATTTTTGTCAGTTATCGTGGTTTTACAGCTCTGGTAATTTAAGCCAATTGTTGAGATTCCTTGTTTAAGCTCGACATGTGGGAAATTGAGATTTGGATGCCATAAACAAATTCGTAATTGCCTTGTAATGCCTTGTGTTGACAGACGTACGACAAACAGATATGGGCTGGCGCTATGCCCATTCACTCAGAGCGAAATGGAATGCTAGAAACAGCAGAGAGCGACGTCTGCCTATATGTATGAGTATGCGTGTATGTGTGTGTGTGTGTACGGTTGCAAAAAATTAGCATAAAACTTCGATTTCGCCTGCGCACATTGCGGCCGAACCTAAATGGCAAACGGACAGAAAACGAGGCGCAAAACGGATTTGCCAGCCTACAAATGGCAATAGATTGTCGACCATAAACCGAATCGGGCCTTAATGCTGCATACGTACGAGCACGTGAATGAGAAGCTGTAACAACATGGAAGAGAGCGAGCGACTATGGGATACCCTTTGAAGAGTGGGTGAGTGATTGATAGAGAGCTATATCCGTCAAAGGGTAGCTTACATAAGAGCAGAGCCTGGGAGGGTGCTGATCTAAGAAGAGAAGGAATAGAGAGATACAGAGGGGCAGGCAGAGAGAGAGAGTGTGACTGAGAAAGAGAGAGAACGAATATACTCTGGTGAATGAGGAAAAGCAGCAGACGATTGCCAAAATGTGACTATAAAACGGATGTAAAGCACATACGACTATGTAATACCCTCTGATGGGCAACTCGCTGATTGTTAGAGTGCTACCACTAGCAACGATGGCAGCAACGGAATATGAAGACTTAACAATAATCAAGGCAGTGCTTATGCGACTATGGAATACCCTAGGGTGATTGATTGACTGATCTTAATCTGTCGAAAAGAGACTTATTTATATTCATATACATACATACATATGAGCACGACAAGGTGAAGAAGCAAGGATGTAATGAAAAACATGGACAAAGATAATAGACAAGCAATCGACTAAATGATACCCTGTATTTACCATTTTAGCTGAGAGTAATTCAAAACTAATTTATCAATATTAAAAAAACTATTGAACAATAATAACTTTGCCTTTCAATTTTATTTATTAAACGATAATTAATTTTAGTACTTAAATAAATTGTTCTTTAAATTTTGTATAAAAAATAAGGATTTTAAGGATTTTACTGTATTTAAAAGTAAAATAAATGAAAAAATAGTCGATGTCAGATAGTTTCTGGCTTCATAGTTATGCGTTATAATAAAATATATATTAATTAAATATATTCTTTAATAATATTTAACTAACTAACACTTACTAATACTTACTACACTTTCAACACCCCGCTTAGTACAGGGTATTTTAATTGGCAAAGTGCATAGCTTCACACATCTAAGCTAATTGGTTATTTTCGCATTAATTGCAAATCTATTTCAATACGAAATCCTGCCTATCTCCGCCCCCTTCTGTAAAGGCTGCAGAGTAAATCTATAAGCTGCTGAGCTAAACTCTATTGTCTGCATACGCTGTGGGCTGAGGACTGAAGGGAGAAGGGAGTGAACTGAACGTCCCGTTCATTTGACTAATTAAATTTTGGAAACTTGTCTGCTGGAATTTTATGAATATTTAAAAAGTTTTGCCAAATGATTTGCCTCATCGTCAGAGTTTGGGGGCTGCAAGACAAAGGCCAAAGCCTCCTCAAATTGAAAATTCATCAAAAAAGTTGAATGGTTTGTGTAAAATGAATCAAATATTCATACATGCACGCAACTTTTTATTAGTTGTTCCGAAAAAGTTGGATTGGCTAATAATTCGCTAGCTATCTCACTCTCTCTCTCTCTCTCTCGCTTGCACGCTCCAATTCTATCTCTCTATGTCTAAAAAGTTATTAGCCTTAACTGCTGTAACCACAGAAACTTGAAGGCCTTTTGGCCAGCCCTGGCGAGTGTTGGAAAGACTGTGTGTTTTCCAGTGTTGGATAATGCATCAGATTAATTTGCATGCATGATACAATTGTATTCGAATATGCTTTCGAATGTTTTTGAGTGTTGGGCAATGCATTTGTGCTCGAATTTTCTATCGAGTCTGTAGCTTGTCTGAGTTAAGTTTTTTACTGCTTTAAAATGAAGCCACTTAATTACAAATTAACCGAGGAGAACCTCAATTTAAAAAGCGATTTGTGCTTCATAGACAACGTGCTGCGTACCCATGACACTCAGGCCGATTCGGAAGTGCGCCGTTATCTGTTGGACTTGTCCTACAGTAAGCGAATATTTTACAAGCGCATTTGCCCATAAGTAGCAAATATTTTGCTATAATATTTTCCTTCCATTTTCTCCGACAGCTTTGGCCCGCAATCAGCTCGTGGAGGCGCGTCGCTTTGCCAATCTGAGCAACAAGACCTTTATAGATGTGAAGGACTTGCGCGTTGCCAAGCTCGACAAAACGGAGGACTACCAGATGGGCTCGCTGCTGCAGAACAAGGGGATAGTGCAGCCGCTGCCCACGCCGGCGACGACGACGAGCCTGCTGCTGCCGCCCTGGCGCAGCTGCCAGGTGGGCGCCAACGCTGAGCTGAAGCAGGTCGTGGCCGAAGCGGAGGCCCTGAAGCAAGCAGAAATCGGGCCGCCGCCCTGCAAAGTACCTCGCATGCGTGCGCCCAATCAGCCAACAGCGACTTAAGAACTCGCATTGAATTTAATTGCAACAAATACAACAACTGCGCTAGTTTTAGCATATTGTTGCTCCATTTCGTTGTTCTTCAGATTGAGGGCGGGGGCGTCATTGGATTACTGCTGCATCAACATATACCTCCTCAGGTGGCGATCGTAGGCGTCTTTGGCCTCCTCCTCCTGCTGCATATCATACCTCTTCAGATTGTAGCCGTAGGTGCGACAGACTTTGATGGGCATCAGGCACAACCTGCAGATCGTCCTAGTGTAGATCATCTCCATACTGTTGCTCGCCTCGTCCGCGTTCCAGGCGTGGATCTTCCTGTAGACCTTGGCCATGCGCTTGTCGCTCCTCGAGGACATCGCGAACCGCACACGATGGGGCTGCATCGACGCAAAGATCTGCTCATCTTGCTCCGACTGCTCTGTCTGCTCAAATCGATTGATAAATATTACAAGTTCTTTGACTTTCCCAGTGACTTACAGTGCTGCAATCGTTCCACATCTCCTCGAAACTATGATTATTCATATTGAATTGCATTCTGTAGCTTTGCTCCGTATTGAGTGCTCTGATTTGATTGAAGTCTAAACATCAAATCGACTATGACAGTCAGCAGAAAACAATTGCAAGGCGTATTTCAAATATCATTTCAGAGCTTGCTTTCTAGTTTCGATGTTGAGCACCTATGTATATACATTTGACAGAAATTCTGATAAATCTATAATCTGAAATGCCTGGGAGATGGCCGGGCTTTTTGATTGTGCGTGCAGCTGTATCTAATGCGGCATGGAACGAGCACAAATTCACTATTTTTTTTAGTTATATTTTATCCTTTGATCAAGATGAGCATATAAAAATAGTTTAGTGCACTAATCCCTGGAGCTTATAAATATTTATAAATGGAGTGTTTCAGTTGTTCTATGTTAATTAAGATGAGAAGTGGCGGCACAGTTTCGAGCATCTGGCCATGTGGTAAATAATATTTACATGTCTCGGCATTTGCATAGCTAACGACAAAAACTATTTCCCAGCTCAGCCTCTCTCACTCTCTCTCTCTCTCTCGCGCGCTCTCCCTCTCTCTTTCTCTCTTTCTGATGATAAACCAGCATGGCGTAGGTCCCTCAAGCAGTTTACAAATTAATGCGAACCCGCACGTGTTAATTCAAGGATGTGAGAACATGCCCCTGGTGCCCCTACTGCTGCTTCTGGTGCTGGTGCTGCTGCTGGCGCTACTTTATCCTTTCCATAGCCCTGCTCAAGGATTCGGCATGAATTTGCATATTAGAAAAAGTTTTTTGTGCCTGTGAAATGCCAGTTTAATATGCGTGAAGTAGTTTTGTCTGCTTAGAAATAACTAAAACTTGATGTAGTCTAACTTCCATGTGGGCACCCAAGACGGCACCAACCCCGCCACGCCCACTGCCTGCCTGCCTGCCACAGAGTTACGCTCCGTGTGGGCGGCATAAATAATTACGGCACATGTGCTAAACTGCAGCAGCTCTTTCTAACAGCTTTGAGCAACAGTGTCTACTGTAAGTTTGCGGAAGGTGTAAAGTGTTTAAGCGTCTTAGATAATTCTTAGCATAGAGTTAGGATATAATTTGATCTGAAAAGTCCGCCAGTTTTTAGTCATGGCTGCCGGCTTCTCGTTTCTCGAGCTGAAACATATACCAAAGATATTTCAAAATACTGTTCAAAAATAAGTGTTCATTTTTTTGAATATACAAATAATAGTATTTCTTTTTTTCAGTATATTATTAAATTGTTATTAGTGCTTGCTATTAAAGTTTGCTTAAACATATCCCACAGAGAAATATTTTATAATAAAAAAATTATCTTGCATGCAAAAATTTTATTTTATTATTATTAATTTAATTATTTTTAAAGTATTAAAGCACACGGAAAAAACTTAATAATAAACTTATTTCTTTGTATTTATTTATTTATTTTTTAATTTATTGAATATTATTTTTGTATACAAGATGCTAGCATTAAGAAAGAAGGAAAGTATTAAGGAGAAAAGAATTAATTTATTTAGTTAGTTTCGTATTTCTATTTTTAAAGTTGATCAACAATTAATAAGAATGCTTTGGAGTCATATGAGGACTTCAAATTGCAGCTCATAGGAATGCAGCTGAAATGGGTTGCCTTAAGTTTATCGATTTCAGATTACGCGGTAACTTTTAGTCGATCTTTTAGCAGCTTTACTTTGGCCTAGCCGCAGCTTGTGCACTTTTCTCGGCGAACATAAACTGAATGAGTATGACCAGATAGGTAACCACAGCGCCAAACATCTGTAGAGAGAGAAAATAAATGGATTTAATATTTGAATTCATTAAAAATACTTCAAATCTAAGACCTACGCTACTCAATAGATGCAGATTGAGACTGAAGAAGTCTTTGGCCGTCACCACAAAGCGTTGATGCAGCGTCTGCAGCAGGAATTCGCTGACCAAGTCATTGTAGCGCTTGCTGCCCAAAGGCTTCACCAGCTTGGGAATCAAACAGCCAATTTGACGACTCTGAAACGAAAATAGAGTATTAATATAAACATAGCATTATTTATATCACATTTTTATTTAAATATCGGCTCAGCTCTCACGTGATTAAAGCTTTGTTGACAGTGCCAACAGGTGATCGAGAGCAAGAGGCCCACGTTGATCATGAAGCCCAGAGAAGGGAACAGATGGACTCCGCCCTGCGAGCGGATCAGTGTGGTCTTGGCCAGCCAATAGGCGCTGAACACAAAGTCAAAGAACAGGACTATGAACACGATGAGCATACTCAGGCCATAGGCTGCGTTGAGCTGTACAAAGAGCAGATGCAGTTGTCTGTATTGCTCTTTGAGGCGCACCAGCTGCTCCACGTTGGGGAGCTGCTTGGAGCGAGTGCTTTGTGCCGCCAGCCGCTTCAGGCTGCGTCGCATGCCCAGCACCCGCTCGTTGGCCGCCAGAACCTCCGAGAGAAACGCAATCGTCTTCAGCTGCACCACCCAGGCACTCGGCGCGCTTATCCAGAAGATGGGCGTGTACCACTCCCGCTTGGTATTGAGACGGAACCAAACGATTGGGCTGTGCAGCGCCACCAGCAGGAAGACGCAGAAGACACAGATCAGCTCACTTTGAAATTTTCGATCCGTCAACTGATTCACGGCCAATTGCAGCTCCAGCTGCCGATGCGTGCGACGTTTCCGAAGGGTGTCCAGCAGGACGAAGGCATGCGCTGAGCTCAGCATAACGAACATAGTCATTATTATTAGACAGTCGAGACTGCAGTCGGGAATCGTCGAGATGTAGCGCGGTACTCCACTCCAGAGCGCAATCAGCCAGCAGAGCCACAAGCCGAAAGGCAAAAGCTGCAAGCGATGCAGCCGTGAGCCGCATCGCACGCCCATGCAGCACAGCACCAGGTGAAAAGCGTTTCGTCCGAACATAACCGAGGCAGTCGAGGGATGCAGTTGGACTAAGGATTTGATGGTCTTATGATTTCGAGAGAGCTGAGTCAAGCCTTGTCGCTCTAGCAATTCATCACTGTCATAATTATTGAACCTGATTGAGTTCTGATCGAATTCAGCCTTATCATGGCAATTAGCAAGTGAAAATAGGGTTAAGTGATACAGGTAAGAGTACTTAGGCTAGAATGTTTGACTTGGAAACGAAGAGGGAAGAGCTCATACTATAAGCACTTGTATCACTTATAACACATACACACTCACTCATGAGCATGAGCAGTTGACTGCGCTTTAGTACCTTTGTAATGGGGCTGCTCTTGAGCTCTGCTTCATCTATGCTAGAGCTCTGATTTATATGGGATAGGGCAACTCTAAGGTTGCTTAGGCTCTGCTCAGACTCTGCTTAGACGCTCTCAACGTTGTTGAGCTCTTCTTCGAATGTGCTCGATCTCTGTAGGGCCAGTCTAAGGCTGCTTAGGCTCTGCTAAAGCTCTGCTTGAGCTCTGATTGGGCTATATGAAATACATTTTTACAAAACCATTATACCCTGATTCAGTTCAGTTCAGAATACCTAAGAGCTCTCTTTATATATTCTTTATATCACTGTATTCTAATAGTAGCCATAATCTCTTCATATCTCTCTCATCTATCATTAAATCTGTCTCTCATCGACCCATTGCTTAATTTCATCTACTCACATTATTGGCACTTGCGTCGCCGTACCAGAAGAGAGCTGTGACGAGGCTGCCGATGGTGAAGCAGGTGTTCCCATTGAAAATGAATATATAGAGACGCTGGGAGTCGTAGGCCTCTGTGATGAACCAGTAGGCATTGGCCACGAATTCAAAGCTGCACAACAGCTGCAGGCAGAGCATGCCCCAGCCGTAGCAGTCGTTGAAGAGCTCGTGGCACTCGTAAATGCGCTCGTAACTGAGGCGCAGCGTCTGCAGGTGCTTAAAGTCGGAGAGCTTGTAGGGCAGCCAGAGGTCGTTGCCGGCAGCCAAGCGCAGCAGCGAGTGTCGCAGCTGGATGGCGCGCTGATTCAGCTCCATGATCTGCCGCATCAGCTGGATGAAGTGGAAGCGCAGCTGCCATTTCTGCATCATGGAGACGATGTGCACCGGGGATATGCTGTATTTGGAATTGGCCCAGGACTTGATAATATCGCTGGCCAAATGTGTTCCCAGTAGGAATAGCAAACGCCCGGACTTGTGACCGTAGTGCGAGCTGCTAAGCCTGCTCATCTGCAGCTCCAGCTGAATGCGATAATCCTCCAGGCGCACATACGATCGCTGCTTAAATATGGTCTGGGCCTGGATGAGCAGACCCAGCATTGAGTAGCCTATGAATAGAATTGATCCTGTGAGATAGCTGACGCTCATGCTCCTGTCCACCAGCACATAAGAGATGCCGGTCCACAGCATCCACATGAAGTAGGACACCCAAATGAGGCGTATAACCAAGGCGAGCAGCAGCCACAAAAGTTGAGACACAGGTGGCAACGGCACCAGGCCCATCCACCAATAGATGCCCAGCAGACAGCGAGCAAACAGAGCGTCTAGCGAATTCATGCTGCAACTGAGGAATTTGGAATCAGAACTAAATGAAAATATTCATAGAGCTCGAATGGAACGAGCTCTTAATAGGGCAATACATCATGACAACAATTATATTGGCTGACTGGCTAAATTCGTTTGACACTTGAACTGTTGAGAGTGGGGAATAACTAAGAGAGGAGGAGGAGAGAGAGAGAGAGAGTGTGTTGAAGAGGTTCAACACAACACAATAGTTGGTTCAACTTGGTGCCTTAATTTATAGAATTTTAGAGATCACAATTTTGAACGAATTAGACGATAACATAAACACTACATAAATCAAATTAAATTAAAAATAAATAATAAAAAATTTCCCTATGAATTATTTTATTTTATTATTATTATTTTATAAATTATAATTCTAATTTATTTTAAACATTCTTTTATTCAAGCCATATTCTACAAAATATATAAATAAACATAAATAAATAAAATAAAAATAATAGTAATAAACCTCCTCTATTGAAATTTTTGTTTTCCAAATTTCCACATCGAAAATCAACTACTGATTTGTAAAATTTTCCGGAGGAAAGCCTCCCACCATCCTTATATACTTTTGTAGTTGAATCAATTCAATGCTCG